TTCTTGTGACCCCAGCATTCATTCCTGCCTGTGGCAGGGGGTCAGGCTAGATGATCTGTTCAGGTCCCTCCTGACCCTAGCTACTATGAAACAGCAGACTGCCAATAATGTTAATTTTCCTGTTATTGATGCCAACTGATATGTGACCAATATCCTAGTACACCTCTAGTTAAAGTTTTTAATTACAGGTACAAAGCACATACCTTTAATAGTTTCTAATGTACTGTTATTTACTTACTGTATCAGAATGATGTTTCTCCAAATTTCTTCTATATTTTCTTGGCTTATTTCCATTGCATGTACTGAATGTTCGTTGGCTTCTTCTAGTATTTCACTTTTTGCTACGTTCTCCTGCAAATGAGCAATTATAAAATTTTATATTTTCTTGTCAGGTAAATTTTAATTCAGGTAACATTCTATTTCACAAATGTATTTTTAAAGTTGTATTTTGAATTAAAAGAAAAACACTTTGGAATTCATAGTTTCATAGTTGGTAGGGTCGGAAGGGACCTGAGCAGATCATCAAGTCTGACCCCCTGCCATGGCAGGAAAAAGTACTGGGGTCAAACGACCCCGGCTAGGTGTTCGCCTAACCTCCTCTTAAAGACCCCCAGGGTAGGAGCCAGCACCACTTCACTTGGAAGTTGGTTCCAGGTCCTAGCCGCCCTGACTGTGAAGTAGCGCCTCCTGAAACACTAAGAATGCTTCACTTAAGCATTCTTAGTGTTTCATTCAACTCTTTAGTATTTAAAATAAAAAGGGTAAAAGCCCATTTCCATTTACTCTTATTCAGAGTTAAAGTTTGGGATCCAGCTTAGAAAGTCTGCACTCTCAAGAGTCTGCAACTGAAAGAGAAAAATTACATTTCAAAATGAAGCACAAGACTAACCTCCTAAATATTTAATACCTGCATAAATTATTATAGAATCAGAGTCAGTATTAGAAAAAAAGAAAAAAAATAGCAGAATAAAAAAAAAAAAAAGGCAGACAGACCATGCAATCTTATTCAACTTTCTATAGCTAAGTAGGAAAATTGCAAACTGTTAAGTAATAGGTCATTTGTTTTAATGCTCCCAAATATATGCTTTATGAACTTCTATGAAGAGAGAAAAAATTCCTAAAGTCTTGAATAGTCAATTAAAGAACAAAAAAGTGGAGTGTTTAAACATATGTGGTGGCGTGTTAAGTGATTTGCCTGAATTCTAGCACACTGCGTAACAGGAGGGGAGGAAAAACACAAGCAAACCTAAAATCAGTCTATGGTCAATCTAAAGTTGTGGGCAGGCAAAGAGGTATATATAGTACTGTAGTTTCATCTGTTGTACACAATTAAAATGCACAAGGACTTGTTTTCATTATTATTAAAGTTGTGAGCACTTCAACCATTATGGGATTTTATACATTCAGAATGCTGTTTATATACGGTATGAAGTCACTTATAAAAGTGACCAGTTTATTCAAGATCTAGTTGTAAATAAAACAAGACAAACTGCCACGTAGAGGCTCCTGACAGACATGGGAAAAAAAGCCCCTAAAACCATGCTTTATTGAAAGCAGAGCATTAGTTCGACTCCACTCTACAGCATCTGTATAGATCGGGCACTTCAGCAGAGCCGATTCTCAAGCCAGCAGCAAAAGTAGGGGTCTGCATGTGGTTAGCAGAGCCTAGCCACATTCAGGCAGCAGCACGTGTACAGGGGTGGGTGGCAGCATGGGTCTGGCCATGTTCACTAGGGGCCAGGGACCCTGGATTCTGCAGCAGGCCATACCCTGCCTCCTGCTCCACCTCCCCACCAACTCCTGGTAACCCATGGGATGGACTGGTGGGCCATGTTTGACACCCCTGGTCTAACGGTGCTCTTATTGTTGGCTGTATCTTTTTGTTACATACATGTAATGCTCTAACTTCACCAAGAGCCACAGAAGAATTTTCGGGGGGGCTTTTCCCCCAGCTTAGGTGGAAAGGAAGGTGCAAAAGCAGATGACAACACAACTAAAGGAAAAGAATGTTTCTGATTATGTTGTTATTACCAGAGATTCAAGTAATTCATTTTTCTTAGGAGTCCTCCTGGAAAACTGTGGTAGTTTAAAGAGACTTTCTTTCTCTTTAGGAAAATTTTCTGTGTTTTCTCTGACTGGACCCCAGTTTGGCAAAGCTTTAACTGGAGAGGTTGGAGGAAATCTGGAATTAAACAGGAGAAATTGTCCATATATTTAGAATAGATTAAAAATATAAGAATTCACTTGAATCCAGAAATGTAGTTTGTTACCAATAGTTCCCTAAGCCTCTGAAAAGAAAGGAAAAAATGCAGCACTTTTGTCTTCACAGTGTAGCTAATTTAAATTAAGCAAAGTTTTGAAGTAGCTTTGGACTATTTTCCTTTCTTCTCAAATTTGACAATCAAGGACATATCTATTTAAAACAATAAGTAGGGGAAAGTACAGATTTCAAGATAAGTACTTGGGGTAGATGAAAAGCAGATTCTCTCTCAGGCACTCTTGACAATATTATTTTCCTAGAATAGACATTAGTAAAGTTACTGTCACACAGAAAATGCCTGTTGAACAAGTTAGGATCTTTCAGTTAGTTTCAATTTTGAGTTTGTGTATATCTGTACAGTACCTGTATAGATTATTGTTGTCCTCTAGATTTTCTGATCCCCATCTTCCTTTTATATCCTCAATTACATGATTCTTGAGAAACTTCCTTAATAACTGGATGGTTTGCTGCCTAGTAACTTCTGGACCAAAATTGCTGTTATTCTTTAGTAGTTCATGAAGCCAATCTACCGCTTCTGCAGCAGTAAAACAATTTCCATGTTTTTTAAAGTGTTGCCTGTGTTTCCTTAGTGGCATCCCTGCTCGAAAATATTTAGTAACTTCATTCCACTGCAAAAGAAAACAAGTAAGGCAAAGAAAACAAGGGCACAAAGTATCAAAACAAAGTTTAGGTTCAGCTTAGGCAGTACAACAAAAAGTAGTTTACAGTTCTGGTTTTAGCTTAAAATAAACATTACTGAATAAATATATTTAGCAGATTGTTACTTCAGTGTCACATGATTTCAAGCCAGTTTCTCAAATGTTTACCCTGTAACATCAGTTTGTACAAGTCCAATTCTTGTGCAACTAAATCAGCTATACCGTGTAGCCTACCTATAGTCAACCTTTAAATTTAGAGCGCTAGGTCTTTAAACACAGCTATTTATACTGTATTAAAACGGTCCCATTTAGCAGCTCTCAGGAAATAGTTTCATTAGCAGCTCTCTGTGACTGCAGTTTTCAGTTTGGATATATTTAATATGTTTGGATATATTTCCTTGCATGGGATTGACTCAGGCAGCATCAAATTCTGCAACCAGTCCTACTAGAACCGGTAGGAGGTCCCTGTAAAACAATGGCCCCAGAAACTAGCCCACACTGACCACTGCTAAAGAAGGAATATATCTATTTCTTTTTTATTTAAATACACTGGGGCCTCACGTACATGCCACATCCACAGATGCTAGAGAAAAGTTTGTTTAGATTCTGCATTTGTGTGGGATGGTTGGGACAGGGATGATCCCGCATCAGCAGGGGGTTAATTCCCTTCCACCCCTGCTTCCCCATGATCCTATGGACCCCTCTGCACGTGCAGGCACGCCTGCAATGGGAACCAACACGTGACCCATACACTCACACCTCCTGCCACGCTGCATGTGCACAGCAGGTGTGATGGTGGGATTGTGCATTGGATCCCCTTGTGCCTTATGGCTGGTGCGGAGGAGCCCCCGCCCAGGCTGCCCCCTGGGCCCTGGTAAGAAGCAAGCGCCCATGGCTGGGAGCCCCCGCAGTTCATCTCCCAGCCGCGGGAATTTCACGTGCCCCTGGGGCAGCTGCACCCCTCGGCTGCTGGCACCCAGCTGGGTCCTGGCGCCCAGTGTCTGCAGCTGCAGGGCTCTGGGCCTTGGTGATGCCGGGACCCGGGGCCTGTGGTTGCTGGGGCGGAGAGGCCCCAGTCCCAGCTGGGCACGGGGCACCCTGTGGCTCCCAACCCTGGGGAAGACCCTGCTACAGGTGCACCTTAAAGCATGGCAGCAACCCGCTCTGGAGTTAGTACTTGTTTTGAGATCTAACTTTAGAGCCAATTGGAGCTTTTTATGATGACAGAGATACTGCGCACCTGGAGCTGGTCTCAAGGGAAGTGCGCAATTGACCACCTGACTGTGCAAGGTCCCTGATGTGTGGAGGGGGCTATGATGTAATAAGTGACGTCAGTCGCTTAAGGAAACAAGTCCTCTCGGGGCGGGTTTCAGGGTCCTGCGGCGAGGGCGGCCGGCACCTTCCGTCCCCCCGGAAACGAGCAATACCCCCCACCACTGTCTGTCACACGGGCCGTTCAGGGCCTTTCCCG